CCTTTCTTCCCTTGCCCCCGTTTTCTCACTCCCTGCCCAACCCCCCCACCCCCCCAGGCTTTAAAATAATGAATATTTTTTTACATACAAACGTGTATCTGTATGACTGCGAAAGGCTTCTTAAGTTTCACAGGGGCGCGTCGGCAGGACTTCATTTTTACCCCTAAGAGACACGCTTAAGGAACACCGGGGCAGTTCTGTAGTTTAAAGTGCTTTTCTGCAGTGTCCTGACGGGGTGGGGGCGGGGGGCGAGCGGGTTAAAAAGCACCCTCTTGGAGGTTCCTTGGATTGTGAGAGGGGAGGCCCCCGGGTCGGACCGCCGCCTTGGGAAACTGTTAGCAGCGGGAGGGCTGGGGAGCCGTGTATTTACTTGCAAATGAAATGATAGGGCTTGTGGTCACTTCCTGTTTCTAGATTCTTGCCTCGTAATAAAAATTCGAAAAAGACAGAGACTGTCTGTTTAGGAGCCAAGCGGCGTCTTGAAGGAAGTGGCCGCGGAGAACAGCCCGTGGGCTGGGACGCTCCACGGAGTGTCTCCTGGTCCCCTCGCCAGGAAAAACTGAAATAAATGAACACGTTGGTCACGTGGGCACCGTGGTATCAGACTCGAGAATCTCTTATCTTGGGCAGAAGGCGATTAAAACAGAAGTCTGTTTGGAAAAAGAGAGCGTCTCAGTAGATTTCGGTTCACCTTTTGAAACTAAGCCCACCCCTAGGCCCAAAGTAGGAGAGGCTGGTGAAGAAGTTGGTCATGTCTGAAGGGAGCAACCATTCCGTTCCTGGTGGGAGAACGGGCATGGAGCAGATGTGGGGCTTCCCTAAAGACCAGTGACCTAAAACTAGGCTTTTCCCCTTGCCCTGGGCGGCTGCGTGTAGCCCGCCGCTTGAAACCCATCTCAGGAAAAGTGGGTGGGAAGCATCCCATTTACGGAGAATTATGAGCGTCTCAGGGTGGTCCCCACGGGGCAGGTGGAGCCAGGTTGCTCACGACCCACCCATACATCCCCAGCCCCCAGAGGGCAGTCTGGGCGGGAGAGGTGGAGGCGCTTGGGCACACGTGGCTTTCCTTTCCATTCCATACGATGAAGACGGTGCTTTATATTTACACGTCACTTAATTCCCTTTTAAAAAATATGTCTTTATTGATTTCAGAGAGAGGAAGGGAGAGGGGGAGAGAGAAACATCAATGATGAGAGTCACGGACCGGCTGCCTCCTGCTCGCCGCCCGCTGGGGGTTGAGCCCGCAACCCAGGGCCTGTGCCCTGACCCGGAATCGAACCCGTGACCTCCTGGTTCATAGGTCTACGCTCAACCACTGGGCCACGCCGGCCGGGTCATCGCTTCATTCTTTATAAAGTACTTCCAGATGTATTATCTAATTTATAATTCTCACTGAGGTTATTCTGTGATGCGAACAGGGCCCTTTCTAGGAGAGAACACAGGCTCCGAGGTGAAATGTTTTGCCCCAAGTCTTGGAAACTCTTGAGCCGCAACTCTCTTACGTTGCTGAACTGGGCCGGGGGGACACCCAAAGGAAACCCACACCCGTGTCCCTGCCACATGGTGGTCGTAGAGTGACCAGGCATCTACTGAGGCAAGAACAAGGTTCATTCTGAGACGTGTTGAAAGTACGGGCTTCACAGAGATGCGTATTTATGTCACAGGAAGTAGATATAATGAAGTTCTTTCTCGTTTAGGGAAAACCCGGAAAGAACCTTCGACTTGGTATTGAAGGTGAAATGTCACGCCTCCGAAAACGAAGGTACGTGTGTGTCGTCTCAGTTCCTGAAACAATCACGTCTGTCACAACAGGTGGCCTGTGGTGTAGGCCCCCGGGGCAGGAGAGCGTCAGGGTCGGATTTCTGAGTGTGTGACGATCCTGCACCCCCTGCCTCAGGTGGCTGGGGGTGAAATAGGTGCCAGGCCTTGGCCCTGAGCTCGTAGAAATCACGAATGGTATCTGTGCGGCTTAAATTTCCGGGCTGTGTGAGGCGAACATTTACGGCGCAGCCTCACCGTGGGTCGATGGAGTTTTGGTGGAAGGGCTCACCTTTCATAGCCTTTCATCCGTCATCGGAAATTTAGCTCCTTTTTTTAAACATCAGTGAAAATTCTCCTCCGGTCCAGCGGGAGCCACACCAAGTCCCTTCTTTCTTTTTGAAAAAAATATGTTTTTATTGATTTTTTAGAGAGAGAGAGAGAGAGAGAGAAACATCCATAATAGAGAAACATGGATGGGCTGCCTCCTGCGCGCCCCCTGCTGGGGATCGAGCCTGAAACCCAGGCCTGTGCCCCGACCGGGAATCGAACCAGCGACCTCCAGGTGCGTGAGTCGCTGCTCAACCACTGAGCCACGCCGGCCGGGCCCAATTCCCTCCTGATGTTTCCGGAATAGCCCCTTCTGTTGGAACCACACCACTAGCTTAGCACTTTCGGAGGGAGGTAAACAATCTCGTGGCGTTGCTGGGAAGGGTTTGAGCTGCTGGTTCTGTAAAACTTCCTGAAAAGACGATAGCCCTTCAGTAGGGGGACTTTTGTCAGTTTTCCCCACTTGTGACACGTAGGCGTGTGTGTTGGGGGGAGAGGGCTGGGAGTGTCTTCCTGCTTCTTGCCTCTTCCGTGTGTCCTTGCGCGATGTCTTTCCCCAGGTGTCTCTGGGGTGATTTCCCTGGCGGCGTGCTCGGACCCTGGGTAGTGTGCTGAGTGCGGGCCTGTGGAGACGGGCTGTCCGTTCTTGGTGCAGAGTCAGCTGACACTCTCAGCTGCGGAAACTGGCTGGCAATTATATGCTTTATTTTTTTTTAAGCAATTATATGCTCTTAGGCCATTTGGAGCTGCGCACCTTAAAATAGAGGAGCCCAACCTGGGTGTGGTGACGTGGGCATGACTAATTTTAGGTAGGAAGTCACACGCACCCCTGGCTCCGCCAGCCCTGCCCGCTGCACCGCTGGCACCCAGGGGTGACTTGGTTGCTTTATTAAACAGCTTCCCGATACCGAAGCAGTGAGCCCAGACAAAGATGTTTCTGCTGCTCAGATGACTGTAGGAGGGGAAGTCGAACTGGAGCCCGAAGCCTGATATGACGAGGCTCTAGGGCTGAGCTCCCAGGACAACGGTGACAAACAGGAACCGATCCTGGGCAGTGGAGAGAAGCTGACTGAATAGAGGGGGCGAGGTGATGTGTCCTGAAGGGGTGAGGCCATCCGCCGCTCTGTCCCCAAGCGTCTCCGAGCAGCAGGGCTCCGTGGCATAGTCTACCTTCGCTCCTCTTTTCCCCTCACTCGGACTCGTAAACCAACTAAAGGCATCGCCCACCTCCCCCAGGACCACCTGGGGCACCAGGGGGTGAGTGGGCTGGAGGTTCAGAGACCCTGGCTTCAAGCACACATCCCAGGAGAGATGGGGACTGTCGCAGGTTTGCTCACAGCCTTCGAAGTTGGACAACAGGTGGCTCCAGCGTAAGAGGCCCTGGCTGGAGTCTAGGTTGGGGTAGGGGTCACGCAGGACGGGGGAGCACCGTGTAGGGACCCTGGGAGCCGCCCCCGAGAGCGGAGTGCAGAACCCAGGACGGCCCCGGTCCTCTCGGACGCAGGCTGAAGCAGGGTGATACAAGGACCAGCGGCCTTCGGGGCACCGCGCTGTGCCTGCGGCAGGGCGATTGTGACCTTTCTGTAGGGACTTTTCAGCGGTTCGCTCCTTTCTCACTCCCTCTGCCCTTTTCCGTCTTCTGGGAAAGAGTCTGTCCAGTTTTATTTTTTTTCCACTTTGGTCTTTTGTTATCTTCTTGCCCTTTGACTGCTCATGTTGAGACCACTACTTGTGAGAAACACATCCGTTGGTATCTTAACAGTTTATCCAGCCTGGTGAGGTTGCAGGTGCAATAAGTGGTTAAAATAAACAGGTTGGGCCTCTCTGGAGGTTGCGAGGTGTCCGGCCTACCCACGAATTCCATTAATGAGGCTGGTTGGCAGCAAATCCGAAAGGTCTTTTAAAAGCTAAACTTAACCCCGTAAAAAGCATTCACGACTTTTCTTCTCTTGATTGTGATTTAAATAGTATGAGCATGACTAGTACTTAGAAAACATGATAGTTGTATTTTTTGGTCCTTTAAAACGTAAATGCTACTATATAACTATACTTTTTCTTTTTTACTTTGATAAATATTCAAGGGACAGTGTTCAGGAATTATTAAAGTTATTAGAATATTCCTGTTTAGCTGCGAATAAAACCTATTTATTTAGTTCTGGCCGGGTTGCTCAGTTGATTAGGGCATCCTCCCGATAGGCCAAGATTGTGGGTTCAATCCCAGGTCGGGGCACATACAAGAATCAACCAATGATGCATAGATAAGTGGAGCAACAAATAGATGTTTAAATCTCCCTCCCTCCCTCCCTCCCTGTCTCTCTCCCTCTCAAATCAATAAAAAAGTAAAATCAAACTATTTCAATTAGAGTCTGATATATGCATCAGTTTGTTTAAAGTAGGAGATATATATATATAGTAGGAAATATATATATATAAAAAGGAGATTTTATATATATATATATAGAGACACACACACATCTATATAATTTTCTACTGTTTAAAGGGACCTAGATGATTTCCTTATGTAGTAACAGGCTTGAAGAACAAAAATGTGTAAATTAGGATGCTTTTGGGTACAGATGTAAAGTCAGTTTGGATAATAAAAAAGTGTCTAGTTCACAGAAGAAGTCTAGAAGGAGGTCACAGGAGACCCAGGTTCGTTCTGCGTCTGGGCTCTGCCGCCGTGTCCCCCGGAGGCCCAGATCCCCGTGGCTCCGGGACGGCTGTCAGAGAAGCTGGCTCTGCTTCGTGGCCGGGAAGTTTCTTCCCCAGAATCCCCCAGAGCCTTGGATCCCAGGGACCCAAGTTGGACAGGGCCTGGCCGTTCTTAAAATAGTCATTGGCTGTGTCTCCGGAGAGGGGTGAGTGGGAAGGTGACCAGGACTGATTTACTCAACACCTGGCAAGGGGTCGATGTTGGTAAATCTTTGCATTCCTCAGAATATTGGTTTATTCTTTGCTGACTGCCTGACCCAGCGGAAAATACGATGCTCGGGGTAAGCTTGGTGTATGCTGAGATCGGTAACACTCGGAGCGCTCCTCCTGTCCCCTTTTTCATAGGAACATTTTAAGTTCTTTCACTGATCCTGAGTAATTCAGGTCATCAACGCCTCCAGAGGCGAATGATTACTCACTGCGTTTTAGTGTGTGATTTGTCGCGGCGTTTGTGGTTGACATAGAACCCGATACAGCCGGCTCTTCTCAAGGCGACCGCCTTCGTGTGACCTACGTGGGCTTGTTTCAGAGACATGACGTGCAACGTCTGGAAAACAACACCGGGAAATGTTGCCCCGGAGGGCCCCACAATTTAAAAATCGCCCTGAGGGGGTTTGGCAGTTTCCCCAGCGTGTCTCCTGGTGGTAAAATCGGCTCCGGTGGTCTCCGGCGGGCCGGGGGGGACGTGGATGTTTCCCTGGCAGGACCACCTCCCGCCGCTTCTGTTCCAGCGGCCCCAGCGGACGTGCCAACGCTGAGGTCACAACGCTCCTCCTGGTGGCTTTCCAAGCTCGTGGCTGTTGTCACTCCTCTTCGCCGTCTTTGCCGCTTCCCAGCAGCCCGGGGAGCGCAGCCGGCAGCGGGGCCTCGCCTGGATCCTAGTCGCAGAACCCGCTGTCCCCCGCGTCGCCCCGACTTTCCCCAAAGCCATTCAGGGTTTCAGAGAAACGAGAAGTGACTTTTCCTCCACGGGAGCCGGGACATGGTGGCTCCTCTTTCGGTTTCCCCCCAGGGCCGTGGCCCTGACACCGGTCCTCTCCCTCCTCTGTGTTTTGGCGACGGCTTCTCCGCCGGGGTCACAGGAGCAGCAGCCGCCCTGGGGGTTTGAGAGAGGGCACGCCCGTCCCCAGCTTGCACGCGGAGGAGCCGAGGCGCGGAGGAACCGAGAGACCTCCCCCAAGGCCTGGCTCCGGAGTCTGTGCTTTAATCGATTGCCTTGTAGAAGACTTAATCTATTTTTTAAAAATGTGCTGGCCTGTGGCCTCCTAACCTTGCGTGAGCTCAGTGTCGGCTGCTTCGTGATCACGCGAGGAAATAGGGAACACGCTGTATGGGGTACAGGTGTTTTATTTATTTATTTATTATTTATTTATTTTTTTAAATATCTTTATTGATCTCAGAGAGAGGAAAGGAGAGGGAGAGAGAGAGATAGAAATGTCAATGATGAGAGAGTCATTGATCGAGCCCGCAACCTGGGCCTGCGCCCTGACCGGGAATCGAACCCCGATCGCCTGGATCCCAGGTCGACGCTCAGCCGCNTGCCCCGGAGGGCCCCACAATTTAAAAATCGCCCTGAGGGGGTTTGGCAGTTTCCCCAGCGTGTCTCCTGGTGGTAAAATCGGCTCCGGTGGTCTCCGGCGGGCCGGGGGGGACGTGGATGTTTCCCTGGCAGGACCACCTCCCGCCGCTTCTGTTCCAGCGGCCCCAGCGGACGTGCCAACGCTGAGGTCACAACGCTCCTCCTGGTGGCTTTCCAAGCTCGTGGCTGTTGTCACTCCTCTTCGCCGTCTTTGCCGCTTCCCAGCAGCCCGGGGAGCGCAGCCGGCAGCGGGGCCTCGCCTGGATCCTAGTCGCAGAACCCGCTGTCCCCCGCGTCGCCCCGACTTTCCCCAAAGCCATTCAGGGTTTCAGAGAAACGAGAAGTGACTTTTCCTCCACGGGAGCCGGGACATGGTGGCTCCT